GGGTGACAGTTTGTCAGGACGTTTCCTTTTGCTTTTCAGAGAAATTGCATTTTAATTCCTGTGTAATGATTTCTCCTGTTCTCAAAGCAAAGAGAAAGGATGGATGCAAAAAAAAAAAATCTCATTTTATGAAATGTTAAGCTATTCTTGGAACAAGCTTCACCTTGCTTTCCTTCTGTAGGACAAACTCTTGTCCCCTGCGCGCCTCGGAGGTCCAGCTGAGGGTTTTCTACCTCACACTGTGCATATTGCACAGCAAGATAGAAAGTCTTGTTTATATTAAACAGCTTATTTATGTATCAATATTAGTTGGAAGGACCAGGCGCTGAGCCTCTCTCCATAACATGTGACTCTGTCAATTGAAGACAGGACAGGAAAAAAAAAAAAAAAAAAAACAGTTCAGATTACTTACTGCACATGTGGGTAAAAACAAAAAATAAAAAATAAAAAGGAGTGGTTCAAAATGCCATTTTTGCACAGTGTTAGGAATTGTTCACAGATGTTACTTGCACACAAAAAATAAATATTTTTAATGGCGTCGGGAGGGGGCAGATCTTAAAAACTAAAATAACACTTAAATTCAACTTCTGTTGTCTGTTATGTTATTGAGCTAATGAATTATTGGGAAAATGCCTTTTTATACTCTTTTATCATGGTACTGTAACTGTATCCATATTATAAATATAATTATCTTACGAATTTTTTATTATTTTTTTATGTCCAAGTGCCCACGTGAATCTGCTGGTAAAATTTAGCACTTGTGTATAAATTCTATTTCCTCTGTGTTTTTCCAAGTATTTATACTCTGGTGCAACTAACTACTGTGTGAAGAATTGGTCCATGTGCAATAAATACCAATGAAGCACAATCAAGATCATGTACTGTGAGTCTGTACCGGGTCAGTGATAATGAAAAAGACAGTTTGTTTTGTTTTAAAGTGTAGACTGGATTTCTCATAGAGCTCTTTTAATAGCTTTTCATGACTCAATAACAGCAAAATGCCTGTACCAAATAAGGCGTTCACCTACTGAGCGCTGCAGATTTGCCCTCAGTCTTCCCAGCCAGATCCAAGGTATTGCAGACTATCTGTAGGCGCTCCCAAGATCTGCTGCACTTGACTTAAGAAGTGACATTTGCGATGGTGTGTCTTCTGCAAACAATCAGAAAACCCAGTGGATCCAGGTAACTTAGCTGCAGCTGCCACACAGAAACGCAGGAAAGAAGACTAACTACCAGTTGCCTACCAGTTGCCTACTTGAAATTCGGTAAGTGGCTTTCACAGCTTATTTTTGTTTTCCAGTCAAAAAAACAAAACCCAAAAAAGAACAAGGGGCAAAATTCCCCAAGGGCCGGTTAAAAAGAAAAAAAAATTCCAAGCCTAAACAAAAAAAAAAAATGTATAAAAGGGCTTCTGAAGTAAATGTTATTTTTCTTGTGTAATTAAAGAGATCATTTCAGCAGAAGTGCTGGGTGGGCAGGTCACGGTAAAAACAAATGTGAAATCACTTAACTTCCTAACAAATTTGCAACACCCGGTGAATGAGGTATTTTTCATAAAATTAGTTCCTAAGGAGGGTACAGTGGAATTCCATCTGGAAATGAATTGTTCATTCTCCAAAATAAACTGATTTAATAGGTTTATATTTTTGAACAAGATCTTCATTTTATGAGTGTACAGTATAGAAACCAAAGTGAAGAGTATAAAGTTTTAGTTCAGGCTGTACTTTAACATGAACAGACTTTTCTCATCTAGGCAAAATCAGGAGTCTGTCTCTTTTTTTTTTTTTTTCTTTCTCAGTGCTAGGGCTTGAACTCAGGGCCTCTCCTGATCCCCAGCCAGGAGACAGTCTTCTGGTGTTTCAGAGCCCAGCAGAAGCTTGCACCAAAACAGCAGCTTCACTGAAAGCAGCCCCCAAATTTAACCCCTTTCTCCAGCCACAAGAGAAAAAAAAAGATGAATGGGAGGGGGACAAAGATGGCAAAGCTTTTTACTTATTTATTTAAATAAGTAAACACATACATACATACCGAAACTTATTTTGGAAAATGTAAAATCCATCAGGATGGACTATCACTGTAATTTCCCCAAGAGCCAGTCCATTCCTAGTCTCTCTTGCCCGTCTTAAGTACGTGAAGTGCATTTTCTTAGGGATTTTGCCCCTCTTCCTTTTAAATTAATAGACTTCACATCTTTAGTTTCATCTGAAGAACACTGAAGTTCCAGGTTAACACTTCACTTTCCTGGGTTTCCCAATTATTGGCTTATTCTAGATATGTCTTCACATTTAAATAAATACTCCCAGCCTGAAATGTGTATACAGGTCCATCACACCTCGGGCCTTAAAATCATGAACATCTCCTCAACTTCAGGAACAAATATGCCAAATCTAACTACTTAGTAGATAGGTTCACGCTCTTTGGTGGATTAGAGGATATAATATATAATTACATAGATATAATATATAAACTTAGAACTGGTTTATATGTTTTAATAGGAAATTTTTAAAGATTTTTATATTATTCCCTGGGTTCTCCAACTGGGAATTACAAGGATTCAGAGACAGACCATGACAGTGATTCCAAATACTCATGAAAACTACTTTCTGTTGTTTTTGAGGGAGAAAAACATTGCTTTACACTAGGAAACATGAAAGCTGGCCTGCCAGTCCCAAAAGCCATGGCAGTGGGACGAGAAAGCTGCCCATCCTGCGTAATCCACGAGGTAGTTCACTGCAGAAATGGCAGGAGAGGGCCGCAAGGATGCAGAAAGTCACCTTCCCCCTCTGGTTTGTGTACATCGGAGTACCAAAGGCATAAGACTTAAAATCAAAGCAATGAACTAACGTGTAATCAAGATTCATTGATTTGCCACATTGGAAATCTTATTTAGATTGAGCACTGTAAAGTTCTCTAACGTGTAACAAACACAGTTTCTTCTCCCGGTTGTAGAAATATGGTATAGCATCTAGCTGGGTCCTTTGGTGAGCTTGCCAATATAAAACTTTGCAAATAGAGTCTATTTTTTTTTTGCCTATGTTTTTTTTTGGAATTGGAATTATTAATAACTTCTAAGTGGCTATTGTGAAACCTTTCCTTGTTAAGCACATTCTCCTAGCTTATTTTAAAATCACATTTTGTTGAACATGCTGACTTCCTCTGACAATATGTAAAATTGCCAGGCGGAAACTCTGCACCCACAGTATCTGGGTAATATTAACATTTAAGTTTTTAGCAAGATCTTCTAAGGAAGGGTTTAAAGGAAAATTATGCTATAAACTTTTGCTGCTAGTTGTGAAAGACTTATTTTCCTTTCAGTGTCTAACAAAACTGGACCCGGTCATTCTTTTGAAGGGGGGGGGAATAAAATAAAACCTTAGCAGTAATTCAAATGAAACACATTGGCACAGATAATGTCGTTTTATTTGTACATTTCTGGCATAATGTGCTGAGAAATACTAATTCTTTTGACTCCCCGCCAATTTTCTACTAATCAAAATGGAGAAGATATGCACTGTTTGGATTATACCTAAAAATAGTTGTGCTACAGTCACATCAGCAAATGGAATTAAATTAATTTCTCTTTCCTCCCCTTCATACACACCCTTCACATTATTTAAATTTCCGTCTAGAATATTGCTCCTGAATCTCATAATTTTTGATTCAGTGTGTCCCAAAGAGCATTGCTACACTGAAACTCTATTGAACCGCTTTCCAGGGTATATCCCCCCGAAACACCCACGTTTTCTCTATTCTTTTTGGAAGAGTCTCTACCAGAGAGCACTGCTAATGTAACCATATTTATATTTATATCTGGATTTATATATTAATATATTTCATCAATAGTTGTTTAACCTTTTGTGGGAGAAGAGAGAGTGTTTCTGAATCAGATTTGGTCATTTGGTCATGGAGTGGAAAAGAAGCTTCCAAATCCAATTGCTCTAATGACAGACGACAAAAACAGCAGCCCAGAGAAGCTCACCCTGGGCCGATCACCAGAGTGTGATCTTTGCAGTGATGTTAGCAACTGTTAGGAACGGCCTTTCCCTTCCCTAGGATGTTGGGCAAAGATCACATTTCTACCTTCTGCACCTGAAGCCTGTTCTTGGCACCACCATCTTCACAAGCCCTTTTTTCTCGGCACTTCTTCAATTTGTCTTGAATATGCTTGAAACCTGTGCAACATCTTGTTCTAGATAATTATCTTCATAGCAGCATTAATTTCTCATGAATGGTTTCCAAAAGCTCTGATTTTCAGCATCTTTCAGAACATTCAATTCCATTTTTTTTCTCTCTCTTTTCCACATTCCCTGGCTCATGGCTGGTAATTAGTAGTGGTGAGAGCACACTGTTTTCTTCCCATTTATGACACAGAAATTACCTATGCTGCATTTTAGATGTTAAGTTTGGACTTCTTCCTGAGAATTTTGGTATGGCTCCATGCAGGGGAAAAAAAAAATTAAGTTGTTGTTTTGCACCTGTAAAAGTTCTTCATGATGGGTTTGATATTGGGGGTGTGGGGCCACCTTAACAGGCTTTATTTTTCTGCCACTGTCACTTCTTAACCACATGGCCTTGTCAGTCTGTCAGTATCCTGGTTTCGGAGGGTGACAGTCGTTGTTCCACCTTCAGCTGTTTGGAAAATAAAGTAGTCTCACTAGTCATTATTAGACTAGCTGATTTGTAGGAATTGTGGGCTCTTGTGGAAGGACAGAAAACTTGTTCAGGCGGATGGTCCACTTTGGCCACTCTGGTTCCTTCTCTAACTAGTTCTCACAGTGCCCCGTGACCTTGGGAAAGACAGTCCCAACTTCCTTTCCCTTTGATTCAGGTTCAGGTCCCCTAAAGCCTGATCAGTAGTTTTGCTTCTAAATCCCTGAGAGGAGTTCTGTGCTTGGCAAAGTTCATCACTTCTGATACCTCCTCCTAACCTTCTTTTCCCTTTCCTAGCAACCGAACCCACCTTTTTTAAGGTGAAAGAGAACAACTAAGAATAGCAAAAATATATATATAATACCCCATGCATCCAAACAAATAGTCCTTCACTTTTTATTGCACTTTAAATTCCACAGAAACCACAACTGAATAAAATAATCTTCCCAAACATCAGATTAAAAAACCTGTTTGCTCTGTGCTGTGCAAAAAGAGTTGTTTAATGATTCTTAACCCACAGCCCCTTTGAGAGAAGTCAGTCAATTTGGATAGTTACTCAACTCTACTATTTTGCACTGAGTTGTAAAAGGTAATAGCAACCATCTAGATTGTTCTCTTTTTCTTGGAATAGCAATTCAGAGATGAAAAGTGCTGAGAGTCGTGGAGTTTGTGTGTTTGTGTTTTTGCTTACCTTTCTTTTGAGGTTTGCAGGCTATCAGGTTTCTTTGTTCCCAATTTAATGAACAGTGACAAATCTACAGGAACTTTACTGACTTAAAATATCTGTTATGTTAACTACAGGAACTCACCTGTAATATTTAGGTCCTTGTTAAAAATGCATTTAAAGAGCAAAGATTAATAGATGTTCCAATAACATTTTTTTTTTTTTGCTGTTCAGGGAATTTTTAAAGCCATTATAGGTAACATTTTAGTAAGATGCTCTTTTTAAAGAACTCATTGTGCTTAAATGATTCTGCCATCAATCCTGAGATAATGCTTTTCCCCCTTTAAATAGGCATACCTAAGTAAAACTGAATCACTCAGAAAAAATTCCAGTCTGTCATGTGAAGGCTATTAATATTCCTAGTAAACAGTACCCTATCCTCATGCAGGGTCATACCTAGATCCATGCAGACCCCACAAGACTGATGAGATGCACTTTGAGATATAAAAACCTGGCCTACCATTTAGCAGCTGATCCTATCAGCAAATATTTCTCGAAGAGCAAAAACAAATTTCTCCTGGAGTGTTGACTCATGGTGGATCCCAGTGGCATCTGAAAACTGATGACTGAGTCACTATTCTGCTTTAAAATCCTTGACGTCATACATAGGAGAAATAGTGACACTCCTTCTTCAGTTTCTATGCACTAAGTCATTCCATTTGCTCTTATAAGTAACTTCCAATCCTTGAATTATTTCTGTTGTTCAGTTCAAAATCATCTTCAGTTACAGGGATTCCTCCTAGCTAGAGACTAAAACAAACACACAAAAAGGTCAAGTTCAGCACCTGGAGTCCGCTGGCATCAGCAGGTCACCGTTCCCAGAATTGTGCTGGTAATTTTTTTCAGTATCACCAGGGCCACAAAACACTGGAGGTCAAGAAAAAAAAAATACTGTACTAAGTGAAAGGATGTAACATAAAAAAAAAAGTTTTGCAATACCACAAAAAGCATCCTGCATGCCCAGGACAAAACAGGTAATATCAATTTTTTTCTCAGACAGCTGATGCACCCCCCTTCCAGTATACAACTCTCTTCAGATCTTTTGATTGTTCCTAGACCTAAGACAAATACATTTTTCACACTGGATGAGCTCAGAAGACAGAGAGCTGACCCTTTAGAGGTGTGCTGTGATTAGCCTCCTGTGATTCACAGGTTCTTCTGTTCTTCGTTGATGGCGCTCTGTGCTGAGTGCTGTAGGAGACACACCCAGCCTGACACTCTGAGACATCCACCTGTGAGATGTGACAGGCAAGTGTGATGGAATGCCAGACGTATGGGCTAGCGGTAAGGACTCTAAGCCAGCACTATCCAACAGAAACAGAAGGTAAGCTATGCATTGCATTTTACACTTTCTAGTAGGCTTTAAAAATAGATTAAAAATAAACAGATGAAATTAGAGTTTCAACCTATAATAGATGTAAAACATTATTCATGAGATGATTGACTCTATGTATACATAGGTCTAAATATAATACACACATACACGAAATTTTGGAAATCTGGTATGTATCTTCCGCTCACAGTTCATCTCAAATGCAACGGGTCACATTGCAAATGTTCATCAGAAGTGGAGATAGCGGATGGGAAGGTGACGTAAACTGGGGGCCTGATGACCCTGTGGATCTTGGATAAGGAGATACAGTGGCATGAAAGGCCATTCCATGGAAAGTTATAGGAAGAAGAAAACTGTATGAACAAAAACAGAGACATCTAGGTCTTCGAGACCAATATTCAGTGAACATCCAACTGCAGAGAGTTGATGTCTCTGGAGTAACTGGGGATGAGAACAGATCAGAAGGTTTGTGTAAAAGTGCTGAACTCTGAGCTTTCTGAAAGCATAGAGACCTAAGCAAGAGTGTCAGTATTAAAACAGTGTTTTAGGTAGATGAATCAGCCACGGGAAGGCATGACAGGTGCATATACCCTCTCACTTAATCTTCAAAATAATTCTGTGCAAGTAAATTCAATAATCTTATTGTATAAATCAGAAAACATAGTTATGTAATCTCATGAGGCATATATGAGCTCATTATTAAATTGTTTCTTTGATGTTTATGTATCAGTTTCAGAGCTGACCCAGAGAAGCCAAGCAGGTTTCAGAGTGCCTAAGGCTAAGGCCGGGTAAGTGCCTGAAGGTCATCCCTCCCACGCGGGCAAGACCTAAGTTCAGGCAGCTCCTTCCAGACAACAGGTAAACAGGGATCAAGTCTAGGTACCCGACCCCTAAGTTAGTCTTTTATTCATGTCACCAAGCTGACTAGGAGTTCCTTTAGGACAAAGCCTTGTCCTTTTGCCCTGTCCCTCCAGCACATTGCTAGGCACATGATCATGTGTGCTCTGGGCGTTGACGAGTTGAATTCTAGAGTCAGAGAAATAAGTTCTCTGCCTTCTGCAGCAACTCAGATACATAGCTGAAGCAAGCCTGTTCCTTGGCTATCACTACAAAAAAAATTTTGGGCTCAGTTTTAGAGATTTCATTCCATGATCCACTGGACCTGATGCTTTTGAGCCTGCGGGGAGCCAGCACATCATGGAGGGAGCATCAGTGCCTGGAAATGAAAGGGAGAGCCCAGGATCCCACAGTCCCCTCAGGCACCATGATCTGAAGACCTTCCACCGGGCGCCATCTCGTGAAGTTTCCACCACTTCCCAGCAGTGCCGAGCTGGGAACCCAGCCTTTTACTTCATGAACCTTTTTTTCCAGATCCAAACTTACAGCAAGGCCTAATTAGACCTGTGCACTACAAGAAGATGTGGCATAACCTTCTGTCGTCTTTGAAATTCCAGGTACTCACCACCTGGCCTAAAGAACAGTTTCTCCCAGAAAGGTGTTAGGCCTGAAACTGCAGCGCACCGGGGCACACTGCTGGTGTCATAGGAAACGAGGTGGTTGTTTTCCAGATATTTCTAGGAAATGAGTTTATTTCTAGAAATGGCACATGGGTTGCTGGAATTCTGCACCTGAGCAACATGAATTTAGCTGAGTAGGAAAATGTACATCTTTATTCTTGAAAAACAAGCACTTCAGTGACATTGTTAAATGAAAACTACGTGTTCTGGGTTCTAGGTCAGTTGTCAATAAATAAAATATCTGACTTCTTTGTCACATTGTATTGCATCCCAAATGGGATTCTCTCCTTTCCAACGGAGAGGTCTAGATCTATTTTCTCTGTGTATTCTATTGGGGAAAAGCCCTCAGCCTAGCCCAGGTGTTCTCCCTTGACCCAGTCAACATGGCTGAGAGAATCAGATTCCTATTCACGAATGCACAGATGACTGTTTTAACTCTTATTTCTACATGTCCATTCTAAAATGTTTTCAGAGCAGATGTCACAGTGCTTCTACGTTCTACTCAGGGCTTGTCCACTTGAAACAGATTCCTAATCTTTCCTTCTCAACAAAAGAGAGAATTCATGTGCCATCTTGAGTTGTTCCAAGGGAAATTATGTTTGTCGAAATGGCTTTTGATGAAGCATTAAGACCTCACCTGTTGTCTTCTGGACACTGGGTGCAGGTGTATATTGCAGAATTAATTTTAAGTAGCATTGAATTTCATTGCCTTCCTGGGACTTTTGTTTGCCATGCCCTTGTCATGAAGCTTCAGACCAGGAAGGCAGAAGCAGAGCAGGGCTGACAGAGGAGACCCCCATCGGGGACAGGACTTCTGGGCATTCATAAGTTCTCTGCCTTAAACATTCAAATCTATTTGGCACAAATGCATTTTCCTGCATCAGTTCCTGAGACTGACAAATGAAATCAGAAAACCACTTCAATAACTCAGAGTGTAGCTGTCAAGATGCCTATTCTGTACCCTTGAGCATGATCAGATGTTTTCTCTCCTATACCCAGGAAAGATAATTATAACAAAAAGGTTCTTAGCAAGCATGAGGTCAGAGCAAAGAGCTGTTTGCAAAGATTTATCAGTACAGCCCTGTCTGCCATGGCCTGGAGTGTTGGAAGTCTTCTGGCTTTGGCGACCAACCCTCCTTTCTCCCCTAAATAGGAGAGATGAGCAATGCCAGCATTTGACTCTGTGCCCCTCTTCCATCACCAGTAGTTCCATGCCTCCCACCCTGCCCCACTGCCCAACAGAAATATTCTTCCCTTATGGAAGTCAAGACACCTCTGCAGTCACAGTCAAGACTTGTTGACCTGCCTATCTCTTATGAGGACCACATATCTCTGCTCACTTCCACTATTTCTGGAAGCCTCTTAATGGAGACTCAAGAGAGAGGAGGAGGTTTTGCTACCTCCTCTGCAACACTGAGGTCTAAAAACACTTCCCGTAGAAATGTTCTTGGCTCTGTTTCTACTTTATGGGAACCAGGTATCTGATTCTGCCAATTTTGCTAATGGAAATGGCATTATTTCCATTTCATTTAATGAGACAGTCCTGTTCCTGAAACATTGAATGTATGTCTAGGCAGCATTCAAATATTTCTTTCTCTGATTTGACTACCAGAGGACTGTGAACTCTTTGAGTGCATTTTTCTGATCCACACTGCAGAAACATCTCGGTGAACTGTGCCTCTGGAAATGTCACACTCATAAAGGGCCCTCCTAGGTTGGAGCTGTGGCCAGATGTCTCCGAGTAGATCTTGTTTATCCAGGGATGAAAAAGGATGTTCCTTGTGATGGCACTGAGGAGTCACGGTCAACCTGATGCATTCTAGGATACAATTATAGAGCAAAGTTCGACATCTGTGGCTTGAAAGATGATCTCAGCCTTGAACTTTTTGTTTCCAACCAATGTAACAATATATTGTCATTGCGTGGATTAATTTATTCATTTATTTTACATACTACATGCTATGCCTTATAGGTTTAGAGTCAGCCTTCAGAATCAGGCAGGTACCCTTTTTCTGTTGTTATTTTTTTTAATCGATTTTTCTAAATTTTTATTACTTAATGAAAAAAATAATAATGCTTATGGGGAACGCATGTTACATTATGCAGTGATTACATCAGGCTAACATCCATCGCTCCACACACTTGTCCTTTCTTTATAGTGAGAATATTTGAAACCAAATTTCTTTAAAAGCAATTTGGAAATGCCCAATATATTATTATCAAGCATAGTCACCATGCTATGCAATAGTTCATCAGAATGTATTCTTCCTGCTTATCTTGAAACTTCATACCTTGACCAAAATCTCCCCTTTCCCTGTCAGACCCTCTGCACCACCCAGGCCTTGGTAACCACCATTCTAGTTTCTACTTCTGTGAGTTTGATTTTTTTTATATTCTGCATATACGTTTGGAGATGTGGCTCAATGGTAGAGCACTTGCCTAGCATACACAGGGAACTGGTTTCAATCCCCAGTAAAACACACACACACACACACACACACACACACAGAGTAAGGTTTAGATTCCACATGTAAGTGAGGTTTGTTTCCATAGACAGATACTCTTGCTTATCTTTCCTCCACCTGTACTTTTGACACATCAATAGAGACAAAGTACACAAGTACTTGAAGAAGTCATGTATCAAAGATCAAGAAGTAACTTGCTGTGTGTTGGTCCAGTTTGGAAAGATGAGAAAATATTTTGTCCCTTTTGAGAGTGACTATATGAACTCAAAAAATATTTAAATTGAAAATATCAAAGTTTCAAAATTAATATTATATATTAACATATTACATTTATATTTTATATAATATATCAATAGTATATATATTTAAATAGATTTATTTAAATATCTTTTTAGGCAGAATACTTGGAGGAGATCTACAAGATCTTACCTGCATGCATCTAGATGTATTTTGGAATTTGAAATGTTTTTAATTTTAGGAAGTTTATGCAGTACTACTATGTTACATGACACCCTGAACAGGGTCCAAGTCAGCATTTAATAATCAAACATTAATGTCTCTACCATGAAATGTGTGATTATTTCTACTAAGTAGATTTTAAAAATGCCTATAAATAGCCTCACAGCAGCTCAGGTCAGATTTTGCTGCCAAATGAGTTCAAGTAAGGTCATATTAACTGCTGAATGAGTTATGGAAAAACTTTATCTCTTCAGTGCTTCTGGATTTGGGAACTTGGAATATGAAATCACAGACATGTGTAATGGAATGTCCCTTTATAGAACATCATCTACTGATTAGCGATGGCAGTTAAACGTACTTAAACCTACCAAATAATGTTACATCGAGTAATTTATAAGTAATGTTATTCAATAAATACTTAAAATGAAGGCTATACACAATTAATTTGAACAGAGAAGATTTTTGGAAAAACTAAGGCCGCAACCTCTTAGCAAAAGCATGATGGTGATTGCCCACCATCAACAGAATCCAGTATGCTATTTAGGCAATCTTCCATGTGCCAGAGATCATCTGTTAGCTAAGAAAACATCCTTTGTTACTACAAAACTGATTGCAGAGAATCTCAGAATGGAAGAAACCTTTAAAAAGCACTGTAATGAGCGGGCACGGGGTGCGCACCTGTAATCCCAACTACTCAGGAGACTGAGGGTAGAGGATCACATGTTCCAGAACAGCCTGGGCCACTTGGTGAGATTCTATCTCAAGATCAAATAGAAAGGGCTGGAGGTGTAGCTCAGTGGTAGAGTGCTTACTCAATCCCCAGTACTTGCGGGGCAGGGGGGAATCACTGTAGGACTCCAGCCACCTCTGAGAGTGAAGACTCTTCTTATCCTAAAGTCAACAATGTTGTAAGATTACAAAAGTAAAAAAGTCATGGTCTTTACTGCAGAATGATTCACATACATCTATGTGTGAAGTGTCATGATCATTTTCAAGGGGTCCACTAAGAACTCCCACCTCAGATGTTTACCATATTGGATAACAACGAAAGTATGTTAAAAATTTATAGCAGTTTTAGTATTGCTCCTTTATTTGAAGCTGCTTCATAAAGTGACTGTGGTCTTATGCCTCAGTGACTTCCGTGATATTTATCTCAACTCATGATCTTCTATGCAATATTTATAAAATAAACATTTTTTAACTCATCATGATCCTCTTTCTTCATCTTAAAGGTTAGAAAGAGGAATAGTAAAGACTTTTTTTTTTCTTTTAGTTTTTCTTTTTGTAGTTTTACAACCACATCATGCAAAACTCAGAAGGGTGGAAAGAAAAAGAAATCCTCTAAGTAAAAGGCATAAAATGTCCTACTGGTAAATGTATCATACTTCAATTTTCAATTTGACACTAACTGGGAAAGGAAATGATGAAGTAAATTTTCTAAGTGTTGAGCTGTCACTGGAAGAAAGATTTATATTACTTTTTGGCATCAAATCATGATTTAGATTTGACAGTATTAGGCACACAATTTCTTTTCTTTGACATTTTTAGGAGCCTGGTAGGAGAAGATTCTGGGTAGTTGCAGGATACAGTACCTTCTGCGCTCTTATCCAAACTATCTACAAGAGCATCTTTTTCAGGCTTAGCATCTGAAAGAGGCTACTACCCTCCAGCCGAGACTGGGCAGACCCACAGGAGGCAGGCCTGAGCTCAAGGTCACATTGAAAAGACTGACTTCCATATTTTGCTGGAGAAAATAAGTGAACAATGGCACCCTCCTAGGGGGCAGGAAACCTTCCCAGCGGTTTCCTTCTATCCAGTCTGGCCAAATCCAAGGTATAAACTCTGCAAAGTGCAAGCAGGTCTCACCTGAAGCCTCATCCTGTCACTTGGCCTCATCCAACAGCTTGCCACCTTGTCTTGGCATACGTATGAGTGCTGGACAAGGAGAAGGCCCGGAAGGCTGACAAGAAGCCCAGGTGACCCCTCCTCGTCCATCATGCAATATTCTCTATCAGGCAGGGCACCCGGCTGCAAATGGCCTCAGCCCAGAGCCAGGGGACAGTGATGGAGAGCCCCTCCTCAGGTCAAGTGGCCAAGGGATGTGGAGGGCTTCCCTTCCCATTGTTAACTTTGAGGACCACTTCTCCCCTGCCAGGACTAGAAAAACTCTCAGTCCTAATAATTAATGTCCTTGGCTTGCTCTTCCACTGCCAGTCAGTGTCTGAAGTATAACACAAACATTACAGAACACAAAATCCGATGCGACCTGGAAAACAGGGTGCCAAGTTAAAGAAGCCGGACCCCAAAGCCCACATATTGCACCCCTCCATTTAT